AAAAAAAAAAAAAAAAAGAAGAAGCCATTTATAAATCGTGTCTAACCACGAAGAAAACTGAGCCCTTAAGCATTGACTGTACTGGAATTTTACGTATGAAAATAGAATAAATATTAGTAGTAAATTATTATGATTTTTGCAGTGCTGGGACTGAACCCGGGGCTTCTCAAATTCCAAGCAAGTCTTCTCCCCTGAGGCCACATATTCAGCCCTAAACTCAATGATCTCTTATCAGGAAAAGACTAAATTAAATCAGAACTGTAATCACATGGAGTGTGATTTACAAAGTTCTCTATCCTTCCCTTCCGGATTTATACAAATGTTACCTGGAACACATGCTGAATAACGGTAGTAATGTCCATCTCTGTCTGCAGGCTTCGCTGCATGGTCTTTATTTTGTCTGAATTTTCCATACTGTCCAACTCCTCCTTCTGTTTCTTCTTCTCAGCTTGTATTTCTAAAAGTTTATTTTCTGAAGCGTGTTTTAGTTCTGTTAGATTAAAATAAAATCACATCTTATACTTGAGAACTCTATAAGCAAAGATCTTGCAAAAGTAAGAAGCACAATATTCCTTGGTTACTTCAGCCAGGTTGTAAGTTATAAGTGACGTGAAATGACTTCCCTGGTACAAAGAACAATAATGGTTTCTGGCAGTACAGATCAAACCAGCAGTGTCCTACCAACTAGCACATGCCTAAGCCATCATTTCATTTCATTTTCTGCAGTGCTGGGGACTTAACCGTGGCCTCTACACTGGGCTACCTTCTTAGTTCTTTGGTATTTTGAGACAGGGTCTTGTCAGATTACCTAGTTTTTGTTTGAACTTGTGATCCTATTGTCGCAGCCTTCCAGACACTGGGATTACAGGTGTGTGCTGCTGCATCTGGCTCCAGCCTCATTTGTTCATCTTGAGACAGGGTCTTGTTACACTGCCCAGACTGGCCTTCACTTTTTATTCTCCTGCCTCTGTCTCCCAAGTAGCTGGCAACAAAGGCGTGTGCCACTGTTCCCTGCTATAATATTTTAGTGCTTTCCATGAATGTTCAAGACATTTATGTGTGACCAAGAAGCTATATACAACAGCTTAAAGTGGCATCGTGTACAACAAACATTACTCTAAGTTGCCAAAAAAAGTTAGGAGTTCTATTACATATATATGCTTTCTCCCCCTTGATGTCTAAGCATTTTTGTATTTCTTAAGACATGTTCTCACTACACAGATCAGGCTCACAGCAATCCTCCTGTTTTCATCCTCCCAAGTACTGGGATTACAGGCATGTGCCACCAAGCCCAATCTCAATCACTGTCTCAGCACGCCCAGGGGCCAGGCCAGCACGGCACGCTAGGAGATTGCACCCTGGTCCCTGAGCCTCCTAAGCAGGCACTTTAGTCTGCTGAGCTATCTGGCCGGACAAAAATGTTTTTCTTTTATATTTTTTATTTATTTACTTTGGACAGGGTCTCTCTATGGAGCTCCAAGTTCTAGTGTGTCTCCTGTCTCAGCCTCTCCAGCACTGGGATTACAGGCGTGCACCACAGCGCCTGGTGTTGGTGGCTGGCTCGAGGTTGGGCTGGAATGGCATATGGTACTGGATATCAGACAGAGCTGTCTCCCAGCCTAAATTGCTTTCAGACTTATATTTTAGTTTGAAAATATAAAGGAGCCTATAATAAGGGCTTATTGTTTGACACTAATGTATTAAAAGTAGGTGGAATACAATGGGAAAAATTGAAACATCAAAAAGTGATCAGAAGAGATGACCAAGCTGGGCATGGCGGTGCACATCTGTCATCCTAGCACTTGGGAGGCTGAAGCAGGATTGCTGGGAGTTTGAGGCAAGCCTGGGCTGCAGACAGCCCTGTCTCAAATAAGCAAATAAGCAAACAAGCAACAAAGCAAGCAAATCAAAAAGCCAATGAACCAATGAACCAAAATAAAAAACAGATGACCAACAGTGAGCACAGTAGCACACTCCTATAATATAGCTCACTGGGGACATGGCAGGTGGATCCCAGAGGCCAGGCCGGACACCAGGAGGCTTGCCCTCAAAGAAGATAATGAACTAATAAACGAAACAGAAAAAGATGATCAAGTGGGGCTGGTGAGATGGCTCAGTGGTCTAAAGCACCTACTTAGAACAAGCTTAGCAAAGCACAGGGACCCGGGTTCAATCCCCCAGCACCACATGCTAGCCAGCCCCGCCCCTGGTGGGCTGAGCTGGCCACACACACACACACACACACACACACATAAATAAATAAATAAATTAAAAAAAAAAAAGATGATCAAGATGTTGACTTCTGGGGCTGGTGAGATGGCTCAGTGGTCTAAAGCACCTACTTAGAACAAGCTTAGCTAAAAGCACAGGGACCGCAGTTCAATCCCCCAGCACCACATGCCAGCCAGCCCTGCCCTCTGGTGGGCTGAGCTGGCCACACACACACACACACACACACACACACACAAATAAA